GATCACTCATATGTGGAATCTAAAGACTCATGGACAGAGAATACAGACTTGTGGTTACCAGGGGGGTAGAGGGTGGGAAGGGATAAAAAAAAAAGAAAAATATTTTTTAAGTTCAGTAGAGCTATGTATATTTCATATATTTGTCAGAGAAGTTAGACTGTGAGGTAACAGATATTATTGGGAATATAAAGGGGAATTTCATTATGATAAAATACTTAATCTTTCTAAAATGTTACAATTCTAAATTTGTTGCACTTAATAATGTTGTTTCAAAATATATGAAGCAAAATAATGACACAACTAAAAGAAAAATGGCAACATTCATTATCATAGGGAGATTTTAACAAACGCCTCTTAGTAATTGGTAGACCAAGCTGACAGAAATTCCAAATGTGATAGTAAATTTTTAACAATGCCATCAATAAATTTCACCTAATTTACATACCTTATACCCAGCAAATGCAAAATTCACATCAAATGCCAGAGTCAATTTACTAAGTGATGAATGTAAAGGAAATCTCAACAAAGATCTAAAAACTAAAATTATATGGAGTACATTTTGTAGTAAGAGTACAGTTAAGCTAGAAATCAATAACAAAAAAGATAGTATTAAAAACTTCTTATGTATGAAAAGTACTTGATATACTTTTAAATAATTCAAATGCTTAAAGGTGATTACAAATGGAAATTAGGAAATTTTTTTCTTTGGATGATAATAAAAATTCAACTTGTCAAATCTTCCAGAACACAACAAATGCAATGTTAAAAAGCTTATGTTAAGAGGGAAAGCTGAAATAAATTATTCAAGCCACAAGTTAAAAAAAAAGCCTAGGGGGTGCAAATAGAAATAAATAATAAAAATAAAATAAGAAACAAACATGAACTAGAGAAAATCAATCTAAAAGTTGTTTGTTTTAAATGTTGGTTTTAAAATTTGATAAATCCCTGAAGGACAGATCAGAGATCAAAGAAAAAAACATAGAAAAAAACACAATATCAAGAATGATTTTTTTCCAAAGGAGAGATTTAAATACAGATCTCACAGTTGAGAAAACGAAAACAAGAGGATATTGTAACAGCTTTAGGCTAATAATTTCAACAAAATGATGAAATGGTTTACAAAGCCATAACTTACACAAACTGCCAAAATGCCACAAGAAGAAATGTAAAATACAAGTAGTTTAACATGTAGTAAAGAAACTGAATCTGTAACTAAAATGCCTTGAAAAAAATTTTCCAAGTCTGGCAGTTTTATTAGTGAATTCCTCTAATCATTTAGAAATAAAACCAATCTTATGTATAGTATTCCAGAGCACAGAAAAAGAGAAAAATTTCCCAAGTCATATTTTGAGGGCATCCTAACTGTGGTAGCAAGTACTAGTAAGAACATTACATTAAAAGAGCCAAGGGAGGCCAACTCTCTTACTTATATAGACACAAAACTCATTCCCAAAACATTAGCAAAGCAAATCCAGTGATATATAAAAATGATGGGGTGGGAGACGGTATAGCTCAGTGGTAGAGCTGGTGCTTAGCATGCATGAGTTCCTGGGTTCAATCCCCAGTACCTCCATTTAATAAATAAATAAACCTAATTACCTTCTCCCCTCAAAGAAAAGATTGAAAGAAAAGATTTTTAAAAATGATAATACATTATGACCAGGTGACAATTATTCCGGGAGGGCTGGGTGGTATAACATG